GTTCTATGTTTGAACGATTGATAAATAACGAGATGCCGTTTGAGCAGCTTGGACGACAATGTCGAATGCGAGATGATATTGCCGATCTCCTTCGGTCACTAAGCATATACAAGGATTTAAAGACAAACAAGGAGGTAGGAGTTTCATTAAATTTTGTTGTTCTAACGCCAGAAAGTTTTTCCTGTCTAAGTTTTTTAATATTAATGTGTTCGTTGTTCATTACTCAGAAAAGACCAAGTTTATGCACATAAATCGTCTGGCATGTAGTATAGATGCATTTGTAAAAAAGAACGGTGGCCTAGATTATAATATAAATTTTAAAAATAATTTTTAAAAATTGACTACGATCCAAACTTGGAAAGCTACTTTCGTCAACGCCTACAGTATATGTCCACTCGATTGTATATATTTTGTTCAGTTTGACATTAATGTGATAGAGAATAAAGCCCAAGGAGGTTACACTACACATGATGATAACGATATAGGATTACTAGTGAACATACACTGATTGGTCAAAAACTTTATCATTATCTTCTAACTGAAAAAACGCTGGAGTGAACGATTTTAAAATCGTTATTGTATCTTAGTTTTGAATATCGAAATAAAACGGTTACCGTTAAACAAGATTAAGAATATCTAGATCTCCGTAATCACTCTGATTTGAATCAAATTTTGAGTTTAAGAAAGATATGATCACAAGGTTTCATTTGAATTACCTAGTTGTAATTTAATCACACCAAATTTCGGGGCCCATGTACCACGGCAACGCCCAATAGCCCATGCAGTAGGCTATAGCCTAGCTAGTAATTTATATTTTTTTTCTAAAAAGAAAACCTGCAATAATAAACCACCTGATTGCGTTGGAGGTAGCTTGTTTTTCGTGAAACACACTGTACACGAAACCCAGATAAAAGGATCAAATAGCTTGTGCAACCACAAAGAAATTCGCCTGATATTGGACGTCGCGGTGTACTTGATGAAGAACGGATATTCTCCTGATGACGTGACAGTGCTTTGCCCCTACCGTGGACAGGTAATATTTTTGTTGGAGCAGTTTAGCAGGTGAACTGCTTTGCATCAGTTTTGGATGTCTGCAGCTCTATAGTACTACTTGATGATGTAGGTCATTCATACCATACCATGCATACCTATGCAGTACATGTAGAAATTTCTGGAAATTAATCATCTTCGATCCCGCCGTCAAAAATTGTTCTTGCTGGCTATTTCATCTTTTCGTGGGAGTGTCTTATATTTTAAACAATTAACAGTTACAAGTTACAAAGCATGCATATTTTAAAATTTATTCATCACATTCACGTTTCCAACAAAAGAAAATCTGTTCATTAATTTTGGATGTAATAATATATCACACAGCAAGCTTCTTGCTATAAATTAAACACCCAATTTTATCCATCTATATTTTTATTTTTAATCCTTCATATTTTTATGATAAATCTGCTACTTAGTACGTGTAAAAAGTCGATTAACGATTGTTTCTTGAGTTAAAGGACAATGGCAACAAATTTTTTTATTGTCTGTACTTATTAAGCTTACTAATGGAATACTTAATTTCACATTTTTGTTTGTCCATTGCATTTAGTTCTTCAGATAATTTGCGAAAATGCTTAACAAATTTTAACAGTCGTCCGCCATCTTGGGAAAATTCCGCGTATGCTAATTTATGCATGAATACATTTCGTGACGTAAATGGCAGGGTAAACGAAAATCCACAATATAAGTTACACTGTAACAACGTTGAGATTTGAAAGAAAATGTTTACAAAAAAATTACACTTACATCATAACGTGTATTAATAGTTCAATAATGTGTAGCAGCTCACTACCAATGGTATGTGACTGTGTTTTCGACAGTAAAGCGTATGTTTGCGTTGTAAAATGCGCTTAATAGACATTGACTCCGGTTATGGTAGTTCTGCTGTTCCAATTACATGTCATATATTCCAAATGTATGTATATATGTATGGCATATACATTTATGTATGTGCATGCTCTGTTGCAGAAATATAGAAATAATTTGCATTGAAATAAAAGATTCTACTGAGTATTTAGTGTTTCAAAGTGTTGTTATATATCATTATTAATACAAAAATAATTCAAACAACTGGTGGAACTGCAACAAGGCTGCAGTGGATAATCGCAACCACAAGGCCCACCAGCCGTAGACGAAGCATTTTAAAATCTCGTGCCAGAATTCACTGGCCGTTAAATTTGAAAACCTTTGAAAAACATTGAATTTTATACAAGGCTGAATCGAAATCATGACAGGTACTTATTCATGTAATGCACGCCGGCAACATAATATATTAATGTAGCTTCAGATTTCACAACTATATATAATAATTGCTTTTAAATCTGAGTAGGCTTTCAAACGACATTGCTCGTGAAATAGCTGTTATCGCACAAACAAGATTTGCTTCTTCTGTAATGTGTAGTGTCGCGCAAGTTAGACATTGCGCAAAGTAGTAAATTGACATTCAAGGTCAGTATGGGATTTTCCCAGCCAAGAGATTAGAGTGAAAATAAGAGTATGTAAAATAACTATAATCTGGTTATATGTTGTGATGTATTTTTACATGTAGTTTTACTTTGTTGTCATTTTATATAGGTAAATATATGCATGTAGTGCAGTAGTTTCCAATATTATCAATATTTTCATTGTGTTATGTAAAATACCCTAAATTCAGGTGTGGGACATTATACTATATACAGTATATAACCGAAATTGCAAATATTAGTAAGCTCTGAGTAGCTAGCCTGCTCGCAGGCGAGCAGGCTATGAGTAGGCGAGCAGGCTATGAGTAGGCGAGTAGCCTAAGACTTGAATAACGAAAAGATCAAGATTGTTCATGTAAAACTTAAGGTCCACTGCAAAACATGTACCGTGTACGGTTGTAATAGTGACAGCCAACAAACAAGTGAAATCCGTTTCTTCAATTTTCGAATGGGCAAATCGGTAGATCAGCAATATAGGAGAAACGCGTGGATTGAATTCTGTAAGCGCAAAGCATTTAAACCATCGTCGTCTATGATCGTCGTGCACTAGAATACATGCTCACTTCATTTTGCCGAAGACGCGTATGAACAGTCGCCAAAGTGAAGCGTTGCCAAGTAATAACTTTACTTACAGTACATACTATAGCTTCAATTGCGGTATACTATTTCTACAATGGATTGACATAAAAAGACACAAAACAGCGCACGCATGTACGCGTGCACCTAATATACAATATTTAACGGCATGGTGTACTTTCAAATCTCCAAATTAAAATATTGCTTGTTTTTCTCCTACTTTTGGTTCATATCGGTATGATAACACTTCCCCTACTTGGTTCTCGTGAATATTTTCCTTTCAAATGACTCAAAAGCATTAATTTTTTGAGAAAACATATTAAATCTCGATACACGCTATACAAAAATATATTGTTGTTTTGATTCTACCCTGCCATCTACGTCATACGGGTCATGTTACCCAAAAGATAATTTTTCGCTAATACGAGCCAAGATGGCGGACCATATATAAATTAACAGTGAAATAACATGCTTATAACTCCGGAACAAAAATGTTTGACACGGTATTAATATCATATTCATAGTTAGATGAAGCAACACTTTTAATATAGACAATAAAAATTTTTGTTGCCATTGTCCTTTAAGGTGGCTTCCTACAGTTATAGTTCTGTTAAACGTATTATATATAGATCAGACGTTATCCTTGTGACTTGCGCGTGGAATCTTCATTGCCCGATAAACATTTTGAAATAAGGCGCGGGAATTCTTTTTTAGTTTTGTCTGCAAAGAAAACGCCAGTTTTTATTATAATCCTAAACTTTTCAAAATTCGAACAATATGTAATGTTAACGTGTTTTTACGCATTTAAGGTGCTCGATACAGTTTTCAAAAATTCAGGTGTTCAACACTTTGACATGTTCAAACTACGCATTTTTAGGATTTATTCAGCATATATTCGGGTTTTTACATATTTTTTATATCTCTACTTTCAAATTATATTAGTCTCAGCAACAGATAGTTCGTTGCTATGACGACCTAGACCCCCATTTTTTTTCTTGCTTTATTTTACTTGGACGAAAAGCTAACAATTGCCAAAATACAAAAAAATTCTGTTATGCCATTTTTTTGGAAAATGCGAAAATGTCGTACTCTTCGGTATAAAATGTTTTTGGCATTACAGAATTTTTTTATTTTTTGTATAATAAAAGTTTTTAGCGGTGCAAAATTTGAACATAGGTCACCAGACAAAATAAAGAGATTTATTTTTTATTTGTGCATGCTTAGTGATATTTTTTATTTCCTGCAATCTGATTGGCTGCAGCAGCGGCAGCTTTTTACGATATCTTGACCGTGGTCCAAAAAAGTTATTCTTTAGCGACAAACCGAGGAGTGAAGACAATTTTCAAACTCAAAACACTACCCAAAAAGTTTAAAAATCCACGCTAACGATACTAAAGACTGTAAAATACGATACTAAAGACAATATAATTGGCTTCAGTGGACTTAGTGCCAATCCCGAAATACTTTTCTCCGAGCAAACTGCGAAAAAACAAATAGCTATAAACAAATAGCAATCAAATCTGAACGTATAGTAATTTAATATGCTATAAATAATTTCCAGACTGAATGTTGATTTTATGAATAAACATGACTTTAACGGTTTCTATTGGATAGATTTAATTGGATATAAGTAATGTTTATGCAAAGGCAGAGCCAACTTGACAAGAGCGAAAAGTGGGCGTATTTCGTTTCTTGATGTGTTGTCAGCAGTCCCTCCTTTCTCCCGACTCCCGAGGGACTACTCGCGGTCTAATCCAGCTTTTGTCGCGTCGTTTTAGCAGTTTGTTAGCCATGCTTGCAAGTTACAAACGCAACTGATCTCAAATCTACTTCGCAACTGGCATTTTATCGGAATATCATTATAACCATGAACTATCAAATAAAAAAATAAACACGTTATTTACCGTTTTGGTCGGTCCGTACTAAAAACTATTTTCCCTCGGCAATTGCTAGATAGTATACTTCAAAATAAGATTTCCGTTTTTATTCTATTTTTAAAATAAGTTAGGGTTAGGTTAGGGTTTAGGTTAGGGTTAGGTTGGGGTTAGGGTTAGGTTTAGTATTAGGGTTAGGGTATATATATATGTATATATATGTTTGTTGTTTGATGGCGTGACTGCGCGCGCGCGCGAGGATTGTTGATGTTGCTTACACGCGCGCAGACTACATTTCCCTCTAAAAATTGTTTCTGGTGCACGCACTTCGAGAAGATTTTCCGATCTTTTGTTGAGTAGATTTTCGTCGCGAGATTTTAAAATCAGCAGCTTCTCTTGCAAGCATAGGTTGCATCTTGGTCTTCCGCTTGTGTATGGGACAGCCTTCTTAAGAATGGACCAAGTGGTGTTGTAAGGTCTTCCGCTTCTCTTCAATTTCCAAATATGCTTCGATAGCTCCGTTTCGTTCGCGTATCTCTGAAGCTCGAATGATTTTTTATGCTTTCTGTACCTGTCTTTGAATTCCCCAGCTGTTACCCCAATATACTGCTTCGTTTCACCGTTGTCGTGACTCTTTACTTCGGCTTGGTACATGATAGCCTGGGTCAGACATTTCTTCTGGAGGGGGCATTCATCTTTCTTGCGACAGTTACAGTTAATTTCTTCTGTTGCGGTGGGTTCGGTCGATCTAATTCTCGTGCTGTGGTTAGAAATGGTTGTCTTGACATTCTTCATGCAGCTGTAACTAATTTTGATTGAATTGCGGTTAAAGATCTTATGTAGACGACTTGATTTAGGGAAATGTTTGTCGATAAGTTGAAGAAAGGTTTTACCAATGTTTGTTACTACGTTTTTGCTGCAAGGTGGATTAAACCATAGTATGTTTCTGTATCTTTTGCGTTTCGGTTGGCTGGACGTACAACTCTCAGTGTTGGGGTCGTCAATATTACTTGAAGGCGTGACATTGTATTGTAAATTAAAATCATAATTACTACGACGTAATGCATTCTCGTAGGTTGGTGCTGATGAATTGAAGGTTTGATGATCAGAGAATAAATTTGATATACGGTGATTTATTGACTTAGGTAGTTGTTTAATTATGGCTGGTGGGTGGTTCGAGCGACTGTCAATGTAAATCGTGAAAATCATGAAAATCACGGCCCAAGTAAAAATCACGTGAAAATCACGGCCCAAGTTAACCACCAATCTGTCAACTTTCTAGACGTCACATTCAACCTTGCAGAGGAACGCTACCAACCATATAAAAAACCCAATAATGAACCCATTTACATTGACAGTCGCTCGAACCACCCATCAGCCATAATTAAACAACTACCTGAATCAATAAATCACCGTATATCAAATTTATCCTCTGATCAGCAAACCTTCAATTCATCAGCACCAACCTACGAGAATGCATTACGTCGTAGTAATTATGATTTTAATTTACAATACAATGCCACGCCTTCAAGTAATATTGACGACCCCAACACTCTGAGTGTTGTACCTCCAGCCAACCGAAACGCAAAAGACACAGAAACATACTGTGGTTTAACCCACCTTACAGCAAAAACGTAGTAACAAACATTGGTAAAACCTTTCTTCAACTTATCGAAAAACATTTCCCTAAATCAAGTCGTCTACATAAGATCTTTAACCGCAATTCAATCAGAAATAGTTACAGCTGCATGAAGAATGTCAAGACAACCATTTCTATCCACAACACGAGAATTAGATCGACCGAACCCACCGCAACAGAAGAAATTAACTGTAACTGTTGCAAGAAAGATGAATGCCCCCTCCAGAAGAAATGTCTGACCCAGGCTATCGTGTACCAAGCCGAAGTAAAGAGTCACGACAACGATGAAACGAAGCAGTATATTGGGGTAACAGCTGGGGAATTCAAAGACAGGTACAGAAACCATAAAAAATCATTCGAGCTTCAGAGATACGCGAACGAAACGGAGCTATCGAAGCATATTTGGAAATTGAAGAGAAGCGGGAGACTTTACAACACCACTTGGTCCATTCTTAAGAAGGCTGTCCCATACACAAGCGGAAGACCAAGATGCAACCTATGCTTGCAAGAGAAGCTGCTGATTTTAAAATCTCGCGACGAAAATCTACTCAACAAAAGATCGGAAATCTTCTCGAAGTGCGTGCACCAGAAACAATTTTTAGCGGGAAATGTAGTCTGCGCGCGTGTAAGCAACATCAACAATCCTCGCCCGCGCGCGCAGTCACGCCATCAAACAACGAAAATCAAACGGTATTTGAGAACAATCTCTCCTGATGATCGCAGCACAGAGTCGCAGAATAGGAAGTTATACCAGAAGCGTAACTCGAGCAAATATTTGTCCGCGTTTTTACAAGCGATTCGTCATCAATCACGCCATCCTGGCTAGTACAACCGGCACTTTGTACCTACCAAATCCTGATAAAAACTTCCGGCTTTACTAGCCAGGATGGCGTGGCCTGACGTGAGCGAGTTAAAATGTTCGTGGACGTCAAACAATAAGGGAAACGACTAGAGTTACGCTTCTGGTATAACTTCCTATTCTGTGACAGAGTAGAGACATACAGAGACGTAACTAGTGTACCCACCCTTTTGTGCGCGTGCTCGGCAAGTTACTAGATGCATGCATCTGATTGGATGACGACCTGATGACGACTCACTTTAAACTTGCCGAGCACGCGCAGTTGATCATTTTTTCGACCGGTCGCCTGAAAAAAAGTGGGTACATGATAACGTAATCTTCCGCAGTGTTTACAACGGTCAGTTACGTCTCTGTATGTCTTATCTACTCTGTGATCGCAGTGATGCGTGAAACTCGGAGTAGAGACAAAAAAAACATTTTAAGTAAGAATAGTAACTACATTCGCTCTACGAAATTTTATGTATTGAGCACTCTCTTCACTATACGTTACAAAACTTGTTGAGCAGAGTTTTTGTGATAACCATATCAGAATACATTCAGTAATGAAGTTATATTTTATACTGTCCTGATGACACTTCTGAACTGTCACCGAAACTTACGTAAATCCTGTCATTCAACTCAATTCACATGTAGTGTTTTATCTGCTGAATCTAATAAGACTACAGTATAGTGCAGACAGTTACGAGTTGTCTTATGCGAAAAGTCAAATTGTAGTTGAATGTTTTGAAACGTTTTGACACACTTTGCACATTTGCCAAGCATGGCGATTAGTAAAACATTTCAGAATTTCGAGAAATTCTACGACATAGATTTTCTGTAGTCGTTCTATCTCGAAATATTTTAGTATGTTATTCCTCTATTACCCAAAAATCTTTAAAAAAAAAGTGACCAAAGAAAAAAAATGTGAGATTAGACAAGAAACTGCTAAAGATAAAACATGGTTGCCTTGGTAACACCACCACCGTTCCAATTTGTTTATATATTGCCCTGTCTTAAGTGCATTCAATATATATTTGGTTGAAAGCGATGGTTACCTGAAATACCTGAAATTTCAGAAAACTGTAGGGGGCCACCTTAAATGACTTCTTTTTCAAAATAGTTTGCTAGCAGCCCGTTTATTTTCTGTCGCGTATTTGCAAAAAAAATTTCAAAACTTATAATCTTTTTGGCGTATCTCTCTTAATTACTGTACTTCATTTTAGATTTGTTTTCCAGTTTTTTAGTCAGACACCTTGTCAAGGTTATCTAGCGGACCGGCGGTTGAGAAACATCATAAAAATGATAAAATTCATCATAAAAGTACAATTCTAACTTTAATTGAAAAATTGACGCCGTATTTACAGCAATAGGCAAAACATTTTATCTTAAAATTTATGCGATAAAAGATTTATTAACATAAGAAAATGTGGACGACCTTTCGACCTTAACTATATATAGGTGTAATAAAACAAACACATTTGCTATGTATAACCATGAAATTGTCTCTATATGGCTTATGAAACAGGGCCAAAGGAAAAGCTTGGCTAAAATGAATCCGTCTGCACGAGTATTCAAGTTTGGCCGAAATTAACGTGCATAAATAAGACATGCATGCGGTCAAATTTGGTTTAGCAATTTCGTCGGGAACAAAGATTTAAACAAGAGCATGCTATATCTCATCGAATACGTACTTGCATACGTGCTCGGCAACGTCATCTGCCATCTTTACCAACGCGTTGCTCAGCACAAGTTCTCGGCTGTTGCATGGTTAACTGAATTAAACATTTTTTCGAACTCTACATGCATGAAATAAAGTTGTACTCAAGAATCGGCGTTTTGTGTCTTACACGGTAGTGCGAAAACTAATTTGATTGTCCTATTTTATAAGATGCTGCGGGTATACGTGCATGTATATCGGCCAAACGCGCATATCGGCCAAGCCTATAGCTTTTACACGTGTATAAAAATATTGAAAACTTGAACTGATTATAATCTAGTGGTTTAATTATTATTCTCGTCAGTTTTGAGCGAGTCGTTTGGGCCTACGCCGGTAACTAATTTTATATAGAGATTTAAGAGGAGATTTTGTATGTATGTTACAAGTTTACAACTTGTCGAAATCGAGTGTTCCTCTTTGTATAGACAGGCTAAATGCGTTTACTTATAGCTTCGCTTTTTAGGTCGACAAAATGAAAACTGCCTTTAACAAGGAATCGTCAGATTCGAGAGAAGAGTATTCTACCAAATTGAAATATATCAATATTACAACTGTGGACAGTTTTCAGGCAAGTAGAATTTCATTCTGTGTAAATCGTACGGAAAAATAGATGGCAAGCGAAGAAGTGAATTTTGGGAAGTGTAATCATGAATTTTGAAGAAGTGTAATCATGCACACATTGCTATGTTGTCACCGAGCCAACGGCGCGGGGCGCCGTTCTGGTCGTCAGTCCGGGCAGGGGCACTAATTCCGCCCGGCTATTTACATCCGGGGAAATTGAAGCATTAGCGAAGTCTAATGTTCATCAATGATCGCGGGCGTGTGTCGCCAACCGTGGGTGGTCATCCTCACTGATCTAAAAAATATGGCTGTTTGCCAGGAGTGGGATAAACAAGATTTCAATTTTCAAAAGCATATATTTGGAGAATCGCGTTTCACAAAATGAGCTTCGAAGCAATTTTTGTTTCAAGGAATGAGAAGAAAGTCTTGGAATATAGGGCAAGTTTGCTTTGAATGTTTGATGTTTATGATTTTTGTTCCTCAATTTAATTAATTTAATGCGTAAAACATGCACTGCTTTCCTTTTCAATGAAGCTGTATTAAAGTTTGCTAAATTACCCTGTTTAAGAGCAAATTAATTTGAAAACCGAACTGAACTTACTCAACAATTTGAACTTATTTTGTTTGATAAAGTAAAAACAGTTTATCGGAAAAAGCAGTTTATAGTTTAATATTAAAATGAACATTTCGAAACATTTTACGAAGCGATTCAGTTTAAATTTTACATTAAATCAAAGCTCACAAAATGCGGAATAACATACCTACAGTACATATTTTGGAAATTAATTGTTATATAGTTAAAAGCAATAATCTTTCAACTATTTTTGCCGTGTTGTACAAAAAAGTAATAATAATTAAATTTCTCGTGTTGCCATGGCAACACAGACGTAAACGCGAGCCTGCGTTCAGTGTTGATCAATTACTAATACTTCATGTTTAATCAATGTTTGAAAAATACATGCGAGGGGTTGCTGCATGCATGTATTTCTAGTTTCTATTTACTTCACTAATGGCCCTGTCACACTATTGCGTATCGTACTAGCGCATGCCAGCGTGTGAAAAATATCACTCATGCGCGAGAAAACCGCTGGCAAACGCTAGGGGTGCGTTAGGCATAGGTTGTATACGTTTCAAGCACGGTCGCGTACGGTGACATACGCTAGCATACGGCGAGGCAGAAACTTTTTTTAAGCATGCTTAAAAATTTTGTGCGTATTCGAACGTGTGGTTTATACGATAAGCATACTCTAGGCACACGCTGAATACGCTAGCGGTACGCCAGATGTACGGTACTCATACGCTAGCATTTCAAAGGGCTTTTGTGCGTATGGAAATTATTTCATTATTTATCATACGCTTCTCATACGTTTCTGTCGTACGCAATTGTGTGACAGAGCCTTAAATCCCTACTTCGAATTCATTTCATGTCATCTTTTATGGCTGCGCGCGGTTTGCAACCGAAAAGTACAACGGACAAGGGCCGCCACGTCATGCATGGCGTCTATGAGAAAGCCTGTTCTGCCACCCGTATACGTATATCATGCACTCTAGTCTGCGAACCCAGATGTTATTTCTCACGCTCATTCTTCGCTCGGAAAGTAACGTCTGCGAACCCGAGCGGTAATTCGATTTCCAAGCGATTATCCAATCAGCATTTGGCTCTTAAAAACAGAGAACCAGCATACGGGACTGCATGTCGCGGTCGATTTGTGTGATTTGCGGGATTTTCACGCGACAGAAAAATGCGAATATGACAACGATTACTACGATTAAGGCCCATACAGACCGGACGCGATTTGGCAACGCGACGCGAATTTTCAGTTTTCAATGACATTTAACCTTAATATTTTTCAGTGTTTTTCAAATATTCGGGACCAGTTAAGCAATGTTAGTTATTTGGTCTGCATGTCTTGTAAAATGTTTACCCGTTGGCGATTTTATTTGTTTTTGCAAACTGAAAATTCGCGTCGCGTTGCCGAATCGCGTCCGGTCTGTGTGGGCCTTCACAGTTGTAACATATATTTACAGCTCTCGGGCGTCTTCAACAAAATTTTATTGTTTTTATTTTTCTTACTTTGGCCTTGGCACTTGCAATAACAATATTTTTTTAACAAAAGATGCATCGGGATCTTATGCTTGTGGCCATATAAAAGTAAATAAACTTCTCTGTATTTTTCTTTATTCTAGAATATACATTTATACTTGCACATTAATACAAAGTTGCTCGTTGTTTATATTTATATTTGCATTTACATTATCGCTTTGTATTTACTTTTGCTCTTGCGTTTTCGAACGATTCTTAACAAAGTTTTCAAAGGAAATAGATTGAAATCTATTTTAACCAGATGAGAGCTAAGTCAAACTTAATTGTAATTTGTTTGAGTGTAAGTACTGAGTGTAAAAAGTGCCAAATAGAACTAGCTGGTTTACGGTAAAATAATGTAACCGATTGTCTATTGATATTGATCATGCAGATACCGATATTAATTTCAGACCTGAAGTTGTAAACAAAATGCATTTACTTCTGGCGATCATGTTTTTGGGAATATGTTAATTTGAATTTCTCTCAAATGCCGTATGTATATTGCAACAAAGTGCACGCTTGAAAAGCGCGACGTGAAGAAAGCACACTGAACCTGCTATATGAAACTATAAAATTGATGTCAATTTTACTCTGTATAAGGGACCATTCATTATTTATGACCGGAGGTGGGCTGGCAAAATTCAATTAACAACTAAACAAAATGTTTTGCCCCCTCCCTTGCATCACAAAAAAATTCAATGACCCCCTTCACATGAATTCTAAAAAAATAGTACCCCCCCCCACAGATGTATACAAAGACATATGACCAGGCATCAGATCTACATTTACTTGTGCTCTCAACAATTAATCCAGATAATTAGAATCCAGTTTCAGTGTATTTTCTACCGACTATAAAGTATATATTCTACTATAGAACACATTATGTACTTACTAAATGAGTGAAATCCATTTACCAAGTCAAATCCGAGTTCGAGACAATTCCGAGGCTGAGGCGAAACATCCGAGTCATGTAAAAAAAAGACGAAATTGAATAAAATTCACAATCGAGTTAGGGTTACAGTGCCGTAGGAAGCTCTTTTTTATTTAGGGCTGAAAACGAGGGCCGATCGAAGGCTCGAGGAAATTTTTAAATTTAGAGTCTCTAAAATGCCATTTCCTGGACTTTGATTCGACAGAATTCTAATGGTCAGAAAACAGCGTTTTAGTATGTCGAAATTTATAATTTAGGGTAGTACTAAATGGGCGAAAGCGTATTTAATTAACTATATATTGGATAAGTTGCAGGAAAGTATTGGTAATATCTTCATTCTTTGCAGTTTGTCATGGATAATGTAGCCGCTTAAAATTAATCAATTGTCAGTATATTAAAGGTATATTATTTAAATGATAAAGGTGTGCATGATTTTGGAAAAAAAAGAAGATTATTAGCAATTCATTGGGCTGCAGCCCCCAGTTGCTACGGCCCTGGGTTAGGAGTAGGATTAGGGTACGTACTAAGTCATTGGACTACAAAGACCGCTAAACAGTGACTCGGACATTTGACTCAGGCTCGGATTTGACTCGGTTTGACACGATAAACCGACAAACTCCTTACGAAATTAAACCATGAATAAAATACCTAGTATAAACTATTACATATAGTATACGCCAAACTTGCCCTGGACGTAATGCTGCTACATCGCTTACTCGTTATCGTGACTGTCTTTTTTACTAAAATGTACATCAGGGAAACATGACAAAAAATTAAGGCAAGTTTATGGCAAAAGTTATAAGGTAGATGTTCTATTGTTTTTGCACGCATTGCATTTTGGGTATTTGTGCATTGCATTTTGGGTCTATCTGTTGATTAAAATTGAGAATTTTGCCAGTTACATGAATTAAATTTGCTGCTATGCTCGCTCTCTGCGCTCGGTAGCAATAATCGTTATATGTCAAATATTTCCCCATAATAATAAAATAACTAGACCCCCTCTTCTGAACCAATATTTTTAGGTAGCCCCCCTTTTTCAGTCAAAAATACCTTATGACCCACCCCCTTTATCTTGCCATCCCACCCCCGGTCATAAATAATGAATGCACGGTCTCTAATACAAACATAAACTACTTGGTTAACTCCTAACGTAGGTACATATTAACTAGCGTGTTAATCTTGTTGCGTATAGTCTAACCTGAGTATCAGGCCCTTATGTTTTCATTCGCCAGGATTAATTGGCGGCTATGGGAGTTTATTGATACCAATCATTATATCGAAACTTCCCAACAATATTCGAATTCAGATCGCTCGTAAGGCCAATAGCGAAACCTGGAAAATCGACGAGTTGTTAGAAGTTATTAAGGTAGAAATCGAAGTCCGCGAAGCACCGCCCTCTCCGTCGAACAGTCCTAACTACGGCTCAGCGAGCGCCTTGACAACGAGAAGTGGTGAATCGTTTAAGTTACAATGCGTGTATTGCAAGGGAGAGCACTATTCTGCTTCTTGTGAAACTATAAAGAATGTTCGAGAACGAAAAGATATTCTACGTCAAAGCGGTAGATGTTTCAATTGCATTCGAAACGGACACCAAATGAAAGATTGTCCAGTTAGCAAGCACTGTCGCCACTGTTAATTTTATAAGTTCATTGCAGTTTTAATTTATATTCAGCCGTTTAGTGGCTGCCTATGCTATAATTAGATTGTTGTTGTCGTTGTGTCAAATTTAAATTTCTCCTGCAACATTTTGATTGGATGCTAAATATAAACTTTGCTGTGGGTGGAAAGCGATCAGGTTAAGTTTTGTGTCAGCCAGCTCTGTTTGTAAAATAGAGCCTGATACTCAGGTTACGTATAGTCATTAAACAAAGTGTCCTTTATATTGTTTTGGCCGGCCGTACTTTTAATGACCTTTAATAATGAATTGCAATTGCAACAGAATAGAAGGACTCGTCTGACATATTTGCCACAATTTATCAGATGTGAAGAAAGATTACATGACTTTGTCATGTTTTCACGTTCATTTATACAGTATTTAACGCACTAATGTAATGTAATGTAATGAAATGCGTATAAAAAATTATATTCTTGGCAAATCTTCTCAGACTAGTTCAAATCACAATCTGTCGAACGAGCTGTGGAAGTTTGTAGTCTGGCGGTTGGTCCGAGAACAACACTTTGAAACTCCAGTATGATATATCATAGTAATTTTGCTCACCATATTTTTATTGATAACATCATATGCGACTTTTTCATTGTCGACGTACGTAGAAAATCCTCTTCGGCGTCGCCCAGTATTAAAGTTGAAAATATTCAATATATTTAAATAACTTCAAAAACAATTATATTTTCCAAAACACGCATCATATTATCCAACTGAGAGGTGTCTTCTTTAATACACATTGTCGTTGATACAGTAGTTGTATCCTGGGTATACTTTTTCGAAGTTTCGTTCATATTTTCAGAATAAAACTAGTATATTAATTTATATTTTTATAATAAAAAACGCGGCTTCGTTCGTGTGGTCCTGAAAGCGTTATACATGCACGCGCTCACACACCAACGCGTGCTCTCGCTGTAACATACGTTTTTAATTGGCTAACATAGACAATAGACATACGTCACGGAAATGAAATACCCCTCGGGTTCGCAGACGTAACTGTCCGAGCGAAGAATGAGCGTGGGAAATGACATATGGGTTTGCATGCAGGCTAATATGGCTCCTGTATAAAAGAGTAAAAAACGTTTAAATCTTAATAGCAGTAATATACAAAAACATTGTGTTTCCAATGCGATTTTTCCGATACAGCGCGCAGTGCGTAATTTTGTCATTACAGAAAAATAGTCAACAAAGAAAAAACGACATGTTCATTTATCTACATTTAACATCTATAGCAAATTAGCCTAAATTTGTTTGTGGTATAGAGGTGTTCGCTTCCCTGACGGGAACAGACACAAAAGCAATCTTTTATTACAAAAATAGCGATAAATGCAACTCTGGGTTCACATATAATTCTGGAAATAATTCAGCTGGGTATCCTCTTGGAGGTTGGCATGCTCACCCCAGAAAACAGTCGCACGAATGATATAAGTCTTGCCTGGTTTCCAGCATGACGTTTTTATTAAGTACTGGAATATTTATGAGTGTATATTCTTATCTATGTATAGCTTACAAACAATATAGTTAAAATAGTCAAAATCTGCAATTTGGAAAGCATATATCTTCTGAAATATTCATTGGATCAACCTCGAATTTTCGTTATATTATAGCTATACCATTATGATTTATGCATGAAACTGTATTTAATAATACCATTTCAGCTGGAGACACATATTGAATATGAGCAGATAGAAAGTATTAGGCTATTGGAACATGGTTGTTAATTTGACTTTTTATATATCTAAAGTTTCGAGAGGTATTAAAACCAAGTGTTTATTGTTGAGGTAAACACCTTAGTGTTTGCAGTTGACATGGTAAGAAACGTTAATTTAGAAGATCAAAGTTGTTTCAGTTTCAATTTCATGTTATTTGTATGCACATGTTTTAGGGAGAGGAAAACAAAGTGATTCTGCTGTCACTGGTTCGAAGCAATCAAAAAGATAAGATCGGTTTCTTTGCACAGAAAAACCGGATATGCGTCGCCATTTCAAGAGCGCAATGTGCCCTGTATATATTTGGAAATAGCAGCGTTTATTCTTCTTCACAAAATTGGAAGGTCAGGATTATAATTATCGTTTCCTTTCTCGATTGAGTCAATTTTTTAAAGCAACATACAGTACAGGAGCCGGTTGTTCCAAAGCCTGTTAGTTTCATAATCCGGAGTGGCAGGGATATTTTCAAGCACTTTTCTACTACCGGTCTACTGTAGTAAATACTCAATCTTCAATTGAGTTTTAAAACTCAATCTTCCCCCAGAATGATTTTTTTTCACAATTTGATTTTTTTTATGTAATTGTTCAATTAAAAACCTGTTTGTCTATATAATTTTGTTCAAAAAGCTGTCGAAAACTGTTTCACTTCTGAGACACAAAATCTCGTAGAGAAATACTCAATGCCCATGCACACTAGAAATGTGTATCACAAACAGGGCCGCGCATTACGGGGTGTGTGAAGGAGTGCGACACCCCTATAATTTTGAGAAATAGTCAAAAAGTCGGTCTCAAATGAACCATTTGTCGGTCCCGATCGTCCGGTGCAAACATTACGCAAAATTATTTTTTCCGTGAGATTGATTTTTTGAACAGTGTCCAAATAATAATAAGTAAGGTTACAGAATTGCTAATCGCCATTATACACTGCCTGAATCAACTTCCTTTCTGTGCTATCCTGCTGATGGCCAAACTAGATTCTGGAAATGCTATTTCCGACGATCTAGAGAATTCAAAGTTTCAAAATTTTTGCGCTCGCCGCCAACCATGTAAACACGTAAAAACTCGTTCCCAAATATTTTAAACCCCTGCAAAATATTTTCGAATATGCGCCCCTGACCACAATTAAAATATTTTAACGTCCCCCCCCCCAAAAAAAAAAGAAACTCAATCTTCTTCTGAAAAACGGTAGTAGACTAAAGTGCTTGAAAATATCGCTGAGTGGATAAACTTTGCCCAAAATTGTTTGTAAACTTGAAAATCTTTTCCCAATGAATGGAACTTTTGTTCCCTGAAGTCTGAAAAGAACAGGCAGGCAAATTACAGAAACAAAATCAGTGGGTTACCCAGGTTTCGTGTTTTAACAACCGGTTCCTACATTCAAAGTAAAAATTGAACGAGTGACTCATGGTATAGAAAAGTTAAGTAACTCAAGAACGTTTCTGTCCCTAACATTTGTTATCGGTGCAACGCATTCATGTGTAATAAATGTTTAATATATTAATATACTAACCGGAAGTATTAACATATTTGTTGACATTTTATAGCTAGCGCTACTAACCACACCTTAAACTTGACATGTAATATAAGTTGTTCTTCGTAATATATATTTATAGACTACAAAATGGTGTCGAAGTCGAATGTTTATTACATGGCGCCCAACGTGGGGCCCTCTTGATTTCCTGATATATACGAGGTATAAGATTATAAAGCGATATTATGGCCGAGACAAAGAAACTAAAACGATTAAAAGCGATACGAAATAGTCACAGAAACGTCTTAAACAATTTATTACAAGAAGCGAACGAACTCATTTGTGTTGACAGTTTAAGCGAGAATCAAAAGGGACGAATCGAAGTTATAATTAGTACTCTATTTGAAAACAAATTGAAACCACTGAACGAAATCGACCAAGAAATCTTAAATGTATGTGAATTGACAACTATAAACAATGAAATTCAGGAATCAGAGGAAATTGTGGCCCGGATTATCGATTGTCAACGAAAGATTAAAGAAATGAAACAAAAACAGCAATCGCCTGCAATTAATGTAAACACCGAAGTCGAAGCGAACGCCCAAACGATAACGAGTAATTTTCAACCGCAAGTAGGACAAGGATATGCGAAAATTCGATTACCGAAATTGACAATGCCACGATTCAAAGGGGGACTTACGAAATGGAACACCTTTTGGGACTCTTTTAACGCATCAATTCACGAAAATGACGACATATCTACAATCGACAAATTCAATTATTTGAATTCCTTATTGGAAGTAAACGCAGCGCGAGCAATTCACGGCCTGCCTTTGACCGAATCGAATTATAATTCCGCTATCCAGATTTTAAAAGATCGATTTTCCAAACCGCAAGCTATGATATCTGCACACATGGAAGAACTTTTGAAATTACAAGTTTGCAACGATCGAGCTAACGCTTTAAGATTATTTTACGATAAAGTTAGCGTTCACGTCCGTGGTTTACAGTCACTGGGCGTGTTATCTGATCAATATGGGAGTTTATTGATACCAATCATTATATCGAAACTTCCCAACAATATTCGAATTCAGATCGCTCGTAAGGCCAATAGCGAAACCTGGAAAATCGACGAGTTGTTAGAAGTTATTAAGGTAGAAATCGAAGTCCGCGAAGCACCGCCCTCTCCGTCGAACAGTCCTAACTACGGCTCAGCGAGCGCCTTGACAACGAGAAGTGGTGAATCGTTTAAGTTACAATGCGTGTATTGCAAGGGAGAGCACTATTCTGCTTCTTGTGAAACTATAAAGAATGTTCGAGAACGAAAAGATATTCTACGTCAAAGCGGTAGATGTTTCAATTGCATTCGAAACGGACACCAAATGAAAGATTGTCCAGTTAGCAAGCACTGTCGCCACTGTAACAAAAGGCATCATCAGTCAATTTCTTTTTCCGTCCGTGAAAGTAGCAAAGAAGACAAACCGGGGGGTGAGGACGCTCAGCGAAAAAAGGACGATGATAAATAAAAAAATGAATCAACGGTTACAACAGCATCGATGTCTGGAAACAAAGGAAAGCTTTTACTACAAACTGCTAAAGCACAAGCATACAATGAAGATGGATCTACAAGTGTAAAAGTAAGAATTCTGTTTGACAGTGGCAGTCAAAGAACTTACATAACCAACAATTTGCAACGTAAACTAGGTTTAACGCCCAAGAAATCTGAATCGATACAGCTGAACACTTTCGGAGACAACAAGTTTAGAAAACAAACATGTAACAATGTCCACCTTGTTCTCGAAAATTCATGTGGTGAAAAATTAGACCTAACTGCACTAAGTGTACCAGTGATCTGTTCGCCTTTACCACCAGCCGTTGATGTGGATTATCCTCATTTGGAAGGACTAGAACTTGCTGACCCATTGGACGAAGACAACGAATCACGTATTGACATCTTAATTGGTTCTGATATTTATTGGAACATTGTCACAGGTGATATAATTCGCGGAGGAAGTGGTCTTATCGCTGTTCGAAGCAAACTTGGTTGGCTCTTAACGGGTCCCAGGGAGGGATATGTATCGAGTGGTCATAATATCACATCAAATCTGATTGCGGGAGAAAGTGATGACTTCCTTACTGTCAACGAAAGAGATTCCTTAACCGATAGTCTAAAGCAGTTTTGGCAGACGGAATCAATCGGGATTTTCGAACCAGAATCAAACGATGACCTGCAACGAAATAAGTTTGTCGAAGACATTCAGTTCAACGGCACGCGCTACGAAGTAGGATTACCGTGGAAAGATGGGTGTCGACCAGACTCAAACCATTATGGACTTTGCCGTGATAGACTTCGATCATTACAAAAGAAATTAACCAAAGAGCCTGAATTGTTACAAGAGTATGAGAACATTATTAACGAACAGAAACGAAATGGTATCGTGGAAGAGGTTCCAATTGAAGATCGCCTGGAGAACAACAAGGACAAAGACAACGTTGGAGTGCATTACAAGCCACATCATGGTGTTATCCGAACTGATCGAAAAACAACGAAACTACGAGTCGTTTATGACGGATCTGCGAAACCCAACGAAAACAAACTTTCACTAAATGATTCCTTGCAGACAGGACCAAATTTCACCCCTCATCTTTTTGACGTACTCTTGAAATTTCGATGGAACCCTGTCGCGTTAACAGCAGATATAGAGAAAGCTTTTCTCATGATTTCCATAGATCCGTAGAACAGAGATATGCTACGATTCCTTTGGCTTAAAGATCCGGGGGACTTAAGTACAGAGATTCTAGAGATGCGCTTTTGTCGACTTGTTTTCGGGTTACGACCATCCCCAGCGATAGTCGGAGCAATAATCACATACCATCTTGACAAATTCAAAGAGAAACATCCAGAAACAAGCGAAATAGTCGACATGATAAAGGATTCATTGTACGTTGATGATTTTGTAACTGGAGAAGACTGCGAAGAGAAAGCGTTAAAAATGTATACAGAAGCGAAGAGTATCATGAATCAAGGGGGTTTCAATCTCAGAAAATGGAACTCGAATTCCAAACCCCTTCTAAAGAAGATAAATGAAGTTGAATCTGATGCATCGAAGCCCACTGATGTAAGCATTGAGAACAATGTCGTGGAAGAAGACCAATCCTATGTAAAATATCTCTGGATCCGAGAACCCCCGAAGATGAATCCCATGTTAAGGTTCTAGGAACTCGTTGGAACACCGAAACGGACGAACTATACTTTAATTTTGATGATCTATTGCACTATGCCAACACTCTACCCGTAACAAAGAGATCACTATTAAAAATCACCACGAAGGTATACGACCCCTTGGGACTTTTGAGTCGGTTTACAATCACGATGAAGGTCCTTTTTCAAGATTTATGCGCTGAAAAGCTTGATTGGGATGATAAATGCATTGACCGGAGAAGCGAAAGATAAGTGGGTTCTATTTCTTAACCACTTGAAATGTTTAAATCAAATTCGAGTTCCGAGATGTTATTTCAACGGACATATGCAACCATTAAAGATACAACTACACGGATTTAGTGACACTTCTAAAAGAGCTTAAGGAGCGGTGGTGTATATGAGATCCGTTTATGAAGATGGACACATCGACGTTCGGCTCATTCCATCCAAAACGAAAGTGGCACCAATCAAGCAACAAAGCATTCCCAGATTGGAATATTTAGGAGCGACAATCCTAGTATGACTTGTCAACACCGTTAAAAATGCCTTACCATTTGCGAAAGAAATCGAAATCGTGTATTGGACTGATTCGTTGACGACCTTGTTTTGGATCAAAAGCAATAAAGTGTGGAAACAGTACGTTCGACACCGAGTGGAAGA